TATATTATATATACTTATATATATATATTATAATATTATATTATTTATAAGTTTAATTATCAATATTCTTGTCCAAAAAATATAATTATATATAAGTCTCAAAGGGAACACTACTACAACTAGTTCAAAATAAATTGTTCATCAGATTTATTAACCGTCTATAATTCCCTTTGAGATTTATATATTAATATATTTATAAGTATCTATAAGATATAACAATCAAACAAATCAAATTCACCATTGTAACTTCGTTTATTTGTGGGTTTTGATTGATCGTTGACTCGTCGATTAAAACTATTTGATTATTGGCACATCCACAAGCACCCTCGCAAGAACACCCATCTGTACTTCCATTCTGCGAATTACCAACGACGTCGTCCACCCGATGATGTTCCTCGTCTTCTCCTTGGCCTACGTGTTCTTCTCTGATTACCTGGGATGATTCTCCTTTGATGTCGCTCGATGCACTCTGAGAGTTGTTCGGCTGTGAAGCAGAGCAGTCGATCGTGCAGCTCGAACAGGAGGCAATGTAGTCCTGGAGATACGCACCGAGGACTTCAGCGTCGATCGATGAACACGAAGAATCTTTCATTTGTCTTAATTTGTCGTCGTTCTGTTGCTGGGATCGAGAAAATTCGCAACTTGTTCTTAACCAGGCTCGACGTGCCCGACATTTTCGTATTCCGACACTGTCATTGATTTCAGCTAAATCATAAGTTCATTATTTCATTATTTTGGATTGGTCAATTTTGAATGAAGATAACTCGTTAACTTACCAGATCCCGAAGAAGAGGAAGGTATATCAGAAATATGAAGACTTCTACCAATCGATCCCGGAGGTGTAACGTAAGGTGGTGGCGGACTTTCGGGAACTCTTGAATTCCTCGCAGTTGAAGAAGTTGTCGGAGTTGTTTGACTACCTCGACTGGTACTGGCACCCTCTAAACACATCGACGACTGTGCCTCTTGCTCGTGTCTCGAATATAAATGTAAGAGGTGAAATATTAAACTAATTATAAACGAGTTTTTAAAAATGAACAACTCACGAGCATCTACTCGGTGAATTTCTATTTCTCGACTCGCGACTGAAACTTCTTCTCTTCTTTCGTCCAACAACGTCGGATTCTAAGCTCAGTTTGACAACTTCGTCGTATCCGGGTGGTGCTTCGTAAACCGGTGGATCATCCGTCACTGAGATTTCATCTATCCTCGCACCGTCTGTAATGTCAAAGACTGATCAAATTAACATTAATGATTATCTGTATTATCATGGATTATAAATCTAATACCTACCCAAAAGTTCACTGATCGTTTGTAAACGCGATTGTAATTCTCTCTGTTGTCTTGCTCTGGCACCCATTCTGTACAACAATATTATAAGGGCAGATATCAATACAATCAAGCCAAGACTACTAGCAACGAAAACCAACGTGGCCGTTTTTAAATCGGGATAACGATCTATCTTCGGGAAATAATAATTCGCTTTATTTGTATGCCATTTTCTATCCCTCGGCTCGACGTCCCAATCTGTTCGCACAAAATTCAATTACATTTTTAATAATATAATGATTCATTTAGATGTTGTGTAATAATCGGATTTTTAGGTTACCTCTGAAACATGTAGCTGGTTCGTCACTGTTGTCTCCGCAATGATCAAATCCATCACAATTAAGTTGGCTCGGTATGCATCTGTGATTTTGACACAGAAAGTCGGAGCCCGTGAAACAATCTACTCGACGTCGTCGTCGTCAACAAATTGATCAATATTTTTATCTTCTTATTATTCTTGTTTATTTATTTGTCAATATATTCAATCAATTGAAATAAACTTACCCATGTAACTAAAAGCAGTGTAGGCTATAGCCAGATGCGATGTTGGACCAAAAGTACCCCGAAGGCTTACGTGAAATCCACTTGTAACGGGTGCAATGTGTTCTCTGTGTCTGGGTGGTTGTAACTGACTCACGGGGTGTCTTAAAACTTCCAAAGGTAAAAGTGCCGATGTGGGACCTTGCTTTATAGTCAATTCCGTATTACCAGCTGCAAAGTGATTTCTTCTATTATTTAATATTGTAAACCATACACATAAGAGTTCATAAARCCGTTACTTTTAATAGCGGATAATTCTTAATAATTGTAATAACCCGTTACCGTAAGATACATAAGAATCATAAGAAGGGTTTCATAAGAGAATTAAGAAGCGAGGTTTTGGTATCGGTATATATATATTTATTCTAAAGTCACTCTCTCGACATAAGATTTCCCGAGCCGACCATTAACATAAACTAAGCCTCACTCATCATAACTAACATAAGACCCGACAAATACTGAACTGAACTGAATAACCGAATAATCCCGGCGTATTGTCCGACTGCCCTTTTATACTTTTCTATCGAACTATCGGATTCCCTCCACGGGTGACGCATACGGTCTATGTTCTTACACTTAATCTTAAGAATATCGATATCCTAAACAAACATCCGCACGCACTCACACTTCGTGCACGAACCTACATAAGACGTTTACAATATATTAGATACGAATTAGATTAGATATGAATATTAATATCTTACCCATGTCAGCGAATGCGACAACTTTCAAATACATATGCGTCTTCATGTGTAGAAAATTTTTCGGTGGTCTTATCAACCAAACGCAATCGTAAGTTTTAACACCTTGTCCTACCATGTCCATCATGGTAATCGCACCGCCCAAATTTTCAACGTATCCTCCGCAATCCGTGATTGGTTGAATTGATTTGTCATAGAGATGGCCGATTACGAACGAATAAAATGCTTTGTATCCCAGACCGGTACCACCATTAGCATAAAATCTTATCAGAAGGGAAGGACCGGAACTCACTATCACCGGTGGACGAAATCTTGCACCACTACTGACGTCAAGTCGTTGACCATTCCAATCATAAAACTACGAACATATGAAATAGAAAAAATAATATCGATTGTTATAATAGAACACTTTTTTTAATATTCGTATAATTATTATTATTAAATATAAATTATTTATTATATTATTATATATATATATGTATATATAATATAAATACGTACCTCCATGATAGAAACTGTAGCTAATTGAAAATCACTAAACAATATTCTGATCCGACAGGACGGAGCTTCGGACGGACAAGTTATTATGTATTCCAAACCTAAATCTCGTGGATATCGTGCTGGAAAAAACGGAGACGTTAGAATACCTCCGCCTGTACTATTCAGACCTTTCGTAACAGCTGTCATCATTTCTGTTCCTTTAAGATGTAATCTGTTTCCTGAAAAAATATTTCAAATCTATAGGTATATATAAATATATTTGTGTTGATAATAGGACGAAGTATTTTCAATTCAGTACTCACTTTCGGCTGTATATTCGAGTGTAAAAGCGTGCTTATGCGATTGACTGTAGAGCAACGTGATGGATAATGTTCTGGTACTTGATCTATACATGATAGGAGAATATAAACCGCAATAAGGTGTACCTGAAACATCTTCGTACGGTGGCTCAGAAATCCAAACGTAATCACACCTGGAAATCATTCGTCAATTTTAAATACAAATGTTTGTATATATATATATATAAAAGAAAGAAGAAAATGTGTGTGTTGAAAAAATAATCTTATTACCTGCACGGATTATCCATCATAACACCACCATCACCGCAATGATGGGATAATGCAAGATTCTTGAAGGTAACAATTATAACGCACGAAGGACAGGTTACTAATTCGAGACTGCATTGATCGTGCGAACTATTAGTCGCATAAATTCTAGATGATTGTTGTCTAGGTGAATTTTTGATGAAGGATATATTTTTAGCATAAAGTATACCCTTTTCGCCTAATTCCAGGTATAAGCGTCTGCCATTGTGAGTTCCACAAATATCTTCATTTCTCACAACGTTACCGTAAATTACGGTGAAACAGCACAATACGATAATCGTCACTTGAATTCGAAAAAAGAAATTAACATAAAAAAAAAGAAAACAAAACAAAACAAAAAAGAAAATAAATTGTAAAGAAAACGATCGATAAAATTGTTTCTCCCAAAATCTTTCTATCTCGAATGTCCCGCACGTCTTTTTGTTTTTGCGCACGCGTTTAACACTTTTTCAAAATTCACGCGATAATATAATACTTGTCGAAAACTTAATGAATTATAATAAAATAAATCAATTACTTACCATACCGAACTTGAAACATATTCGTCCAACGGAAAGAAACGTTCTGTTCAGCAAGAAACCCGACATGATTGCATATAATTTCGTTAGCTTAACTCAACTCTGTTACGTACTGTCCTATTAGGGTATAAGGCATTTTTACGGCATCATCTGTACGACTAACATACTCTTCTCTCGCTTAATTTCTATCGTAAGTCTAACATAATGTTATTGTTCTAAGTAAGAAGTTGGATATTAGATAAATATATGTGAAAATAAAAAAGACAAAAAATATATTGTACATACTTAAACTTTAACATTTCACTTAAATATGATTGACCATAAAGACGATTATTTAATTCAAACGACGAGAAAGTAAGCTACTCGAGTAACATATTTTATATGTTACATATTCCATTTCAAGTTAAAATCAAGCCAAAGACAGCTTACCATAAATATTATAATTGTAATTAGTTTATTTTACCTTCCTAATTAATTCCATATTTTTTTATTCCTTTCTTTGGTTCCTTCTATCCATTTCGTATACAGAAACTAATTACTTTATAATAAATTGTTTTATAATTATTTATTATCTTCATATTTTTTTTATAGATTTATAAAACTAATATTATAAAAGACTATAAATAATATTGAAAAGCTTGGAAAAATATAAATAAATATATCTATCAATATATTTATTATATCTATATATACTGTGAAAAGCATTTAAATGCACCCCACCAATCAAAATCTTGACGTTTTTCTAAAATCCAATGGGAATCCAGATTTTCAGGTGATTTAAATTATTCTCGCGACGTCACAAAACAGAAAAATTTGTAACAGGAGCGCAAGATGATGCAAGAGGTATCAGGAGGTTATTTGACTTACCGACCGGAAAGTTCAGATGGTAAGGTAGAAAATGGTCGTTACTGACTGTCGGTAGCTCGCGTGGTAAGTTACTATCTGATCTTCGCAGCCGGTAATTTGTCTACTATACGGCTGATAATTTAAAAAGTGTGTCAGCTCCGACGCATGACTGGAGTTAACTCTTTAAGTACGATTGTCTTTGAACAGGTACAGAAAAAAAGACTTACTAGATTAAAACAAAGACCGATATCATATTGGAGCTAAAAAAACTTGTCTTTCTATAAATTTTCTTGAATTATAAATTTTTTTTTGGGATTGAAGTAATCCTTTTTTTCTGTGCAGTAGGTGTAAAGGGTAAATAAATGCATCTATTAAAATCTTTAAAGAATGTATATATTTTTATTCTAGTTATATTTTTTATGGCTATTAGGCAAAATATTATACATCAATCATTTTACATAAATATATCTTACATATCGTATATAAATACACTGTTATATAGGAAGGTTGTTTTATTTATGTTATTA